CAATTATTACGGCAACCAGCCGAAGCCACAACAGAGCGACCCATTGTCAATGACTCGCTCCCAATTCAAACGCTTTTGCTCAAAGGTCGACCGAACAACGGCACAGTTGTATGCAAATTACGTCGCAACCAAACGAAACGCCATTGAATATTCATTTTTGCCTCTCTTGAAAGTGCCTTCAATTTTGTTTTTTTTTTTCCTTTTTCTTTAACTAATTTTAAGAGTTGAATTTTGCCCTTTTTGGCCCCTAGCATTAAGTATTGAGTTCTTTCTTTTTGCCCTATTGGCACCCCCTACTTTAGACATTGAAACTTGCCTAATTGGCGCTTATTTACAGGTACGAAAAAAGTTTGTTATCGATTGAATGAACTGAGATAATAAAGCCTGAAAAAAGCAAAATATACATTAATCATTTACTCATTCATTCTTTAGCTACATAGGAATTGAAAAAAAAAAAAAAAAAAAAAAAATATAATTAAGAAAAAAGGCAAAACCCCACAAAAAAAACATCCCCAAAAGAAAAAAAAAAAAAATAAAATAAATAAATATATACCAAAAAAGAGGGATCACTCCAAAAGCCAAAAAAAAAAGAGGGAAAAATATATATACAAAACCACAAGCTACCATCATGTCGAAGTTGGATAAGCTTTTATCAATCAGGTTAAGAACCATCGGTGATTTTGATCACCATAATGAGGAATTAAAAAAGTTTACAGCAACGAGCAGCGTCACTGCCATTTCATATCGAATGATTGCTTTCGAAAAAACTTATAAGGAATTCGTGGATGTCACCGAAGAGTTAGAAAAGGTTGCAGCTTTTCACGAGCACGATCAATACGCAGCAGTCATAGCAGCAAATAGGAAAGTATTGGATAAGTATTTAGAGGCCAAACTGTTCGTATCACAGTTGTTGCCAGACGATGAAGTAAACACTTCTTTGAACTCTTCATTTTTTCCACAACTACCACGATGTTATGCTGAAACAACCGAAAATCAGGCTCAGTCTAATTCAAACAAGGGACTCGGCCTGAAACTGCCAAGCATTCAGCTTACACCCTTTGACGGTAAACATGAAAAATGGCCCGAATTTAAAGATTTATTTCTATCTATCATGAAAAAATACAAGGGTGACGATGTAGAAAAACTCACACATCTCCGAAATTTTCTCCGAGGGGAAGCCTTAGAGACAATTGCATATCTCGGAGTTAAAAATGGCAGCTATGAAACTGCATTGGAAGTTTTAACAAAAACTTATGAAAGTAAAGATGCCATCATCGATGCTCATTTACGAAACTTTGTCGATCTGCCTCAAATCACGGACGCCGTACCATCAAGTATACGGCAGGCAATTACAACAACACAAACTTGTTTAGCATCGATAAAATCATTCGAAATTATGACTGAGACATGGGACACCATAATTGTGTTTCTCTTGAAGGATAAATTTAGTCATGACATTCGTAACAAATGGGAAGAAGAACGAAAAGGCTCGCATGAACCAGCAACCAAGAAGGAATTGTTAGACTTCTTGGACATCCGTTACCGAATCAGTCTAAGAGCTGCTACACGGAAACCACCATCAAAACCAAACACCGACACGAAACGAAATGTCAAGACGTTTACACTGACTGATGGAGAGAATAGTTTTGTCAAGAATGACAATCAAAGGTACGAAGACGAGTATCATCAAACAGAAATCACAACAGATGAAACAGATGAATCCATTCTACACAATCGACGAACAGAAATTTGTGGCATCTGTGAGGAAGCACATCGTGTCTTCACGTGCCCAAAACTCACACAGAATGCAGCAGACACACTGCAATTGGTAAAAGACAAAGGTCTGTGTACAAATTGTCTTTATAAACACGATGTAACTACGTGTACATCGAAATTTACGTGCAAAAAATGTCAAACCAAACATCACACATTATTACATGACGCATTTCAAGACGCTAATTTTCACACACTTCGTGTAAACCATGCGGATAACATAGCGATTCATAGAAAACATGCACTTTTAGCTACGGCACTTGTACCAATCTACTCAAATGGTGGATTCATCAATTTACGAGCACTCATTGATCCAGGTTCAACTGCAAATTTATTAAGTGAAAGAGGAGCACAGCTCATACGATGTACTCGACAACGGATCAGTGGTGTACCAATGTTTGGTGTCTGTGGAACCCAAACTGGGATGGCATCATATAAAACTACGATTCAATTAAGTTCATTACATCAACAAGACTTGCAATTATCCATTGATACATACATTACAAATCACGTCACTTCGGTGCGACGAGTATCAGCAGCATCTGCAAGTGGATGGACGCATTTGGACGGCTTGCAATTGGCCGATCCAACTTTCCTTGAAGCGGGCAACATTGACCTACTGATCGGAGTTGATACATATGCCGAATTAATTGAAAGTGGTTTGATTAAAGGTCAAAGGGGACAACCCATCGCACAAAAAACAAAATTAGGTTGGATTCTTAGTGGTGTTTATGAATCAGAAGAATACATAAATCTCAATAGACTCATGGATCTGACAGAAGAACCAACACCTCCGGAGGATCACCTTCGGATCCACATAATTACCAATGAAGATCTCGCCACTCAAATCAAAGCATTTTGGGAAATAGAAGAAATTACGCCTATAAAACATTGGTCAGAGGAAGAGCAAGCTTGCGAGGACTTTTTCGTTAAAACAACAAAAAGAGCAAATGATGGCAAGCTTGTAATGAGGTTACCGTTCAACATGGATGTAAATTCAACAAATTTTTTAGGTGAATCAAAGGAGAGAGCTCTAAACCGTTTCAAGGATTTGGAAAAACGCTTCGCCCGAAATCCAACATTAAAAGAGGAATATGTCAAATGCATCAATGAGTACATTGAATTGGGACATGCCGTAGAAGTTCCAATGTCACGATATAAACATATCATCCCACATCATTCAGTATTTAAGGAAAGCAGTACGACAACAAAATGCCGAGTGGTTTATGATGCGTCGGCGAAAACAACAAACGGATTTTCATTAAACAATCGTTTGCCGATTGGTCCACCCATTTTGGAAGACATTTGGTCAGTCTTACTACGATGGCGTCTCGGCCAGATTGCAATTACTGCCGATATAGAAAAAATGTATAGGCAATTTTGGATCCATGAAGACGACGCACAGTATCAACAAATATTGTGGCGCAACGATCCATCGGAAGAGTTGAAACTATATGAATTACGAACAGTCACCTTCGGTACAGGCATTGCACCCTTTCTAGCAATCCGTGGCTTGCACTACATTGCTGATGCAATTGCATCAGAATATCCAGACTTGGAATATACTATCAAGAAATGTTTTTATGTTGATGACTGTTTAAAGGCAGTAGATTCACCGATGGAAGCCATCCAGGTGAAGGAAGAGCTAACCAAGATTTTTGCATCATTTGGACTTAATCTAAGAAAGTGGAATTCGAACGCTCCCGAATTACTTTTGGACGAAGTGGTCGATGTGAAAACTCACCCAACAAATACCACAACACCTTTGGGGATGCAATGGAACACCACAACTGATCATTTAAGCTTCAAACTCACACTCAAACCGTCTGAGAAGATAACGAAACGGACCATTTTGTCAAACATATCATCACTTTATGACCCAATGGGTCTGTTAGCACCATTGATCATCAGAGCCAAGGCATTTATGCAGAGACTATGGTTGGCACAAGTTGGTTGGGATGACAAAATCTCAGATGAATTAACACAAGAATGGCAAACAGTGAAAACATCATTGACATTAGCATCACACATCTCAATACCTCGGTGGATAGGCTTTCGTCGAGAAAACAAACACGTGTCACTACACGGGTTTTGTGATGCTTCTGAACAAGCTTATACGGCCGCATTATACCTCCGTACAGTTCTCATGGATGATACGGTGGAAGTCCACTTAATGACAGCCAAAACAAGAGTGGCACCAACTAAGAAAATGTCAATTCCACGCCTTGAATTGACGGCAGCACATCTATTGGCCAAGCTAATAACAAAATTTAAAGCTGACATCGCCATTCCGGAGATGCATTTTTATGCATGGACTGATTCTGCAGTCACATTAGCTTGGATATCAACACCCGCACACAAATTAAAGACGTTTGTAGCCAACCGCGTGTCCGAAATCCAAGAGCAAATTCCAGCCGATTGTTGGAGATACGTAAAATCGGCTCAGAATCCAGCAGATTGTGCAACACGATGCAACACTACAAATGAAATAATTTCACTAACAAAATGGTGGAATGGCCCTTCATTTTTGTCAGACGAACCAGATACATGGCCAACGGTTCCGCAGCATATGCTTTCAACTAAAAGGGTACTCGAAATGCGTCCAACAATTATGCACCAACAAGCAAAGGAGCCACAAAAGGAGAATAGTTTTTTGTTGAAACATTCAGACCTCTATAAACTGCTACGTCTTACGGCATATTGCACTCGCTTTCTAAAATCAAATCGAAGGTTCCAGGGACAACCAATTCCATCGCCAATCGAGATTATGCATGCCAAAAATCGATGGATTCGTATGATCCAGAGCATGTATTACCCCGAAGAACAGAAATGTCTAGTAAAAGGGAAGCCGGTTCATGCAAAGAGCCCATTAGCATCGCTTACTCCCACTATTGATACAGATGGTATCATTCGAGTACAAGGTAGACTGCGGAATGCACTCTTACCATATACAACCAAGCACCCAGTAATTTTGCCAGCTGAAAGTCATTTTACGACATTAATAATTCGTCATGCCCACAATCTGGCCTTACATGGAGGGTTACAACTCACATTGAGAACCATTAGGGACGAATTTTGGATCACTCGAGGCAAAGTAACGGTCAAACGCGAACTCGCTAAATGCATGGTGTGTTTCAGATATCGCTGCCGGCCCGGACAGCAACAAATGGCGGACTTATTGGCGCCACAAGTACAGCCAAATAGACCATTCAGCCACACTGGAATAGATTTCGCTGGTTATTTTGAAGTAAAAACATCAACCAGAAAGAATGCACCTTTCATTAAGTGTTACATATCATTGTTCGTTTGTTTAACAACAAAGGCGCTACATTTAGAACTAGCCCACGACCTATCAACAACAGCCTTTATTGCGGCACTAAATCGATTTACAGCACGACGCGGAATTCCCAATGAAATGTATAGTGACAGGGGGACAAACTTCACTGGTGCAGCAAAAGAACTGCCAAATTTATGGTACCAGGAAGAGACCAAAGAGAGCCAACTCATCCAACAAGAATGTGCCAACAAAGGGATCACATGGCATTTCAACCCAGCCCGTGCTAGTCATTTTGGTGGACTATGGGAGGCAGGTGTGAAATCTGTAAAAACTCACCTGCACAGAATCTTGAAGGATCAGAGACTCACATATGAGGATTTCAACACAATTATCATCCAAATCGAAGCTTGCCTGAATTCAAGGCCTTTGTGTCCACTGAGTAATGACCCAGATGATTATGAAGCTCTAACTCCAAGTCATTTTTTGATAGGACAAGCTCTCATGACCACCCCCCACCCAGACGTTAAGCACATAAAAATGAACCGTCTGTCAAGCTTCCAATTCATGCAACGTATGCTTCAAGATTTTTGGGATAGCTGGTCGCATGAATATCTGACGCGCCTGCAACAGCGACCAAAATGGAAGAAGCCACAAACAAACATGACGGTCGGACAATTGGTGCTCATTAAAGAAGACAATCTACCACCGTCCCAATGGGTCTTAGGACGGATCAGTCAAACCTTCCCAGGCAAGGATGGGCTGGTTCGAGCAGTTGAGGTCAAGTGCAAGAATACAGTGGTCAGCCGGCCAATTCATAAATTGTGTCCATTACCAGTAGAGAATGAAATGGATAAAAATGAGCGTTTGATCTGCGACCAATCGCTCATCCCCCGGGAGGATGTTGAAGCCGCTCAATAAAAATATACAAAATATAAAGAACAAAACA